GTGTTCCTGATTGATTTGTGAGGGCACTATCTCAATCAAGTCTCACTTTTTGTGAGATTTCAGTGTTCCTGATTGATTTGTGAGGGCACTATCTCCATCAAGTCTCACCTTTTGTGAGATTTCAGTGTGTTCCTGATTGATTTGTGAGGGCACTATCTCAATCAAGTCTCACTTTTTGTGAGATTTCAGTGTGTTCCTGGTTGATTTGTGAGGGCACTATCTCAATCAAGTCTCACCTTTTGTGAGATTTCAGTGTGTTCCTGATTGATTTGTGAGGGCACTATCTCCATCAAGTCTCACCTTTTGTGAGATTTCAGTGTGTTCCTGATTGATTTGTGAGGGCACTATCTCAATCAAGTCTCATCTTTTGTGAGATTTCAGTGTTCCTGATTGATTTGTGAGGGCACTATCTCCATCAAGTCTCACCTTTTGTGAGATTTTCGCGTGCTCCTGATTGAACTGTGAGGGCACTATCTCAATCAAGTCTCACTTTTTGTGAGATTTTAGTGCGTTCTTGATTGGACTGTGAGGGCACTATTTTCCATATTGTTCATGACCATGCCTTATGTTAAGGTTACTCATTACAGTTTCACAATTTTGTTTTTTTCATTTCGCGAATAGATAGCTAATTATTATTATTATTCATTTGTTGCTGCTATTTTATAACAGAGGCTCACTAATCTACCAAGAATAGGAGCTGCATAAACTTTGTACACAAATACACAAGTCTTGTAAATAACAGAATACACATATTGTTAAATAAATTACATAAATTCAAGTTTAAAACTGATAATAATAATATTAGTTAAAACGAAATTTGGTATTAGTATAGGTAAGTAACTAATTTCATAAAGATAATTATTGGGTTAGAAAATTCTGTCTATAATCTACTAAACAAAGTTTGATCTCTTTATCAATATCCTCACACAGGATTGTTATATAAAATAATGTGCGGAAACAAATGTTTAGTATGGGCCTAATTTTTTCGATAAACTTGATTACAAAGTTAATACGTGGAAAGGAAAAATAAAACATAATGCGTTTCATTAGAAAATGTCTCTGCGTTGAAACAATATGGCTGGAACAACATTCTGAAAAAAATTTAAAATAGGGGGTTCAGACCTATTTATAACGATACTAGTTTCAGCAATTTTTTTCTATGCTTAATACATGAGCAATAGAATGTGAAAACTTCTGCACATTCTGTTTGACTTCATCCACGTTCGGGATACTGTATTGAGCATCCTTAACGAAAGCTATCTAAGATTTTTTTTTGCGCAATTGAGAAGTTATCCTCTAGGCAGACTACCATTTCCCAAAATTGGTTATTCCAATGGACAACTGGTTATAAGTTTTTGAATTTCAAGCTCTGTCATCATAACTTTGAAATATTCTCTTATGTTGATGTATACTGTTACATACATTATGTATCTGACAATTTTTGTTTTTGTTTTTTTGTTTAGGATAATGAATAAAATTATTTTATATCCTGCCAAAACACAACAATGTAAGACTGAAGAATTAACATCCAGATTGAGTCTAATTGATCTGAAGGCTAATGGGGACAGTAAAAAACTTCCACATGTTGGCAGTGCGCCTGCTAAGCTGAGTGACAGTGCACTGGTTAACAGAGTATCTGCTGCTACTACTGCATATAATCTTGATGGTTGTGGTGATGACAATTTGAGAATTACTGTATCACAGACTGGAGCAATTCGATCTGTCAGTGGTAAATCTGGTACCACAAATAAGGTGAGTCTTATCCGTCACTGGGAAAGTAAAAATTATGTCATATCCAACTTTTATCCGAGTTGATGTTCATAAAAAGTGGGAATTGACAACTGTGATGTGTTGACTCAGGAACACATGAAACATCAAAGAAACCAGAGAGCTTTCAAATTTAACTTATTGTTTATTCCACCATTTTCAGTTACCAACGGCACTACTTTTTAAATATCAATACACTTGGGTGATCAGGTGACATACAACACCATTACAAAAGTATGTATTCTGACACGTGCAATAAAGTACCGTAAAATTCGTAATAGAAGCCGCGGCTTCTATTAAAAAGAAAATGGCTGCCCTCCCCAGGAAAAGTGGTGAAGTCCGGGTGCGGCTTCTATTGAAGCATTGTCTAAAATCTTAAAGTGCCTGCACGCGAAATATGCAAATTAGTTAATGATATGCTAATGAGATGCACGCAAATTCCAAACTGCAACAATGTATGAAGTTTTTACTTTAAATCATGGAGCTACAAATATTTAAATCAAGGGCAATTTTCAGTGATATTCAATAAATATTTACTCAAGAAACAAACTATTCAATAAATACTATATAACATACAAACACACACATGATAGCGGTACAACTCTTTTTGGAGGATGTGGTGGCCCTGAAAAAGGCCGTTTGGTTTGTATGTGGAGAACCACGGAGATTTGGCTAAAGTCCAAGGAACTCGTCATCGTCTTCATTGTCGCTATAAAATATCTTGGCGATCTCTTCTCCTATTGCCTCGCCGTCTGCCTCGAGATCTTCGTACACCAAGTTATCCTCACTGCCATCAAGTGCATTAGATATGCCAGTCTTCTTGAATGAATTGATGACAGTTTGGGGCGGAACTTTGTTCCACGACGAGACGACCCACTCAAGTACCGTCTTCTTAGCAGGGGCCTTTCTTTTACACACGCTGGTGTGAACAGTGCTTCGCCCGTCTTCATCCATTCATC